TCTGCAACCCCAGCACTCGGGCGGTAGAGACAGAAAGACCAGGAGTTCAAGGCCAGCCGTGGTGACAAGAGAGACAAGCCTGCATTATAGGAACCTGCCATCAGAAACTATAGAAAGTAAGAAAAAGGGAAAGAATGAAGCAGAGAGAGAGAGAGAGAGAGAAAGAGAGAGAATATCCTAGATAAAATGATTGCTGTCATATCTATTTATGCACACCTTAAGTATATACTGCACTACAAAGTCCTCAGCAGATTTCCAGAGGCTCTTACATAGGAATTCAGAAATTGTGAGGATAGTCATGTTGTCCTCTGTCTAAATGCTAATAAACTACTGGTTGTCATTAGTTACCTTTTTTCCTTTACATGTGAGCAGTTCCTTGCAGAGGCAGGTAGGCCCTACCCCATTCCAAGCACACTATAGTCTGGGCATACTGTATTCACTCAGAACTGTTTCTTAATTTCCAATTATAAACCATGTAGTATTCAAGAGAGTAATGAATGAGATAGAAAATTTTATCAGAAAGCTCACTCTCAAGTGACTATGCAAAGAACAACACATTTTCTGTTTTTTGATTTGTTCAAAAAGAATACACATTCTTCTTCCTCTAAGAGATACATTGTCATGATTTTAAAACACCTTTTCAATAATATTTTCCTCTGCATTTGAAGTGGGAAGCACCTTGAAACAAATCAGTATGCTGCCTTTCGTTTTAAAACAGTGGCACATTTTAATGTACCTTTTTATATTTCTCATGATAGTTTTAGCTGTATGTAATTACCTTCTATCTTCAGGGTTCTATCCATTTCAGAATTGAAAAGAAGGATGACTGCCTAAGACAAGATGACTATCAATAGTCGACACAATTCATGTGACAGAGGTTGGAATGTTTGCTTTTGTATGTTAGGTATTTTTTTTTCATAATTTATCCATTTCATCATTACAAAGACTTCATGAGAAAAGTATATGGCAAAAAAGTAAGTAAGCTTTGAAAATTTGGCTATTTTGAGCCAATTATACTGACAGTAAAGACAGAGTTAGATATGACCTTAGTTCTAGCTAATATTAGATAGGGCTCTATTGTGTTTAATTACTCCTTGTAGGGGAAGTACTCAGTTGGTTGGTTAAGGTAGTGTCTGCTCTGCAAACATAAGGACTTGAGTTTCTATCCTAAGCACTTTCATAAAAGCCAGGTATGATGGTGTATGTCTATGACCCCAGTGACGGGAAAGTTGAGACTACTTAAGATCATTGGGAAGCAAGTCTAAACCATGGGTGAACTCAAGTTCCAATGACAGATTCTGTTTTAAAAACAAGGTGTTAAATGACAGAAGAAGACACCTGATGTTGACCTCTAACCTCTACATACATGCACATGTGCGCATACACAGAGTACCATGTACATTTGTGTATACCATATGCACACACACACACACACACACACTAAATAAAAAGTAGTCTTCTGTAAATGATTCTATGGTAGAGTCATAGGTCTAACCACCTGTGGTTCCCTTCACTTCCCTTCCTTCTGTTCTTTTTTTTGCAAACATATCCTAGTTCTTTTCTACCTATTCACAGCATTTTAGACAGATTCAAACCTTAATTGAATTTTGTCAGGCCAATGTTAGTAACTTATGTTTCAAAGCATGGTCATCATCCATTTTAGTTATTTTGATTGTTTCCAAATTTTAATAGTAAATTTGGTTCTTTCACACATGTACACATTGCATTTTGGTCCTTCTTCCCACTACTTCTCCTGTTTCCCTCCCGCTCTCTAAATCTCATTTCCCTGGTTGTTAGTTTTCACTTTGTTTACTGTAATGTAGAGTTTAGTACATTTAGCAGTATGCATGTTTCCTTCTTACCCAGCCTAGGTTCCCGATACTCCCCCTGGCTCTATCAAGGGCTAGCTTAAGTTGCTTCAGTTTCCCTTTGTTTCTCTAGGTTGCTGCCTTGTGAGACTTGCTAACAAACAGAAAGGCGGTCAAATGTTAGGCAGTAAACACTAGAAAGAGAAACAAGGGACCCAAAGAATCCACAAACACATTGATTGACTCCCTGG